CCCCCCTCCCTCCTTCTCATACTCTTACCCACACTGATTAGTTTAAGAAAGTACTTAACCCTATTTCACGATCACTGTACAGGAACAGGCAGCTTATGGACTGAAAAACACAGTTCAATCAGGGCTGCTCAGAAACCCCACTGTGAGACTTACCTCCAAAAAGGTGCACTTATGCAAATGTACTAAATAAACCATGCATCACATGGACAAAAAAGAAATAGAGTAGCAGAAGAAGAGTAAGAGTTTAAAGCAGATGTTTTTCCTCTTCCAATCTCAAAGTTCCTGCTGGCTGAAACTGGCTACAGGATTTTTTTTTTTAAACTGGATCTTACAGCTTGTGGTGTGTAAACCCCCTGATAAATGAAACAGCTAATACAGAAGGTACTACTTGATGAATTTATATTGAATTGAACATCCAAACCGTAAAACATTTTAGAGGTGCCCATTGTTCCCTGTAGTTCAGTCTCCTTGAAGGAGGTCACAGGAGACTGGCGGTGTTTTCTGTGATATATGGTTTATTTATACCTTCCTCCTTGCTGATCATAAGATGAAGGATTTATATGAAGAGCACTCCTAATAGACTCCTGTTCCCTGCTGGAGATCTTCAGGGAGGAAAGTCAGTTTTCTTTTTCTTTAGAGGTAAGAGGCAAGAGTTTTTTCCAACTACACATTATGTGGTTGGTTGCACAGTGAGCCAGATGTTGAGACTGGATGGAAATGTTGTCAGTGCTTAGATTTTCTAAGTGCCATCCAAGGTTTTTTTGGGTATGGTTCCCAGTAAGTCCACACCGGGACCATCATGGCCAATTTATGCCACAATCTTTCCACTTTGATTTTTAGATCTTGATACTTTCTGATTTTCTTCAATTCTTTGTCTCCTGTTCTACTACCCCTTGGTATTTCCACAGCAATTATCCATAGTTAAGATAATTGATGTGGCAATTATCAGTTTGTACTTGCAAATCTCACAGTGAAGATTTTAATTTTTGATTAATTAATTAATATGTATTATTATTATGGTTCATCACACACTTAGACTGGATTCAGCATTTTTATCCACCTATCCAGTCCTTCTCAATGACCTGGGATAGACAGATCAACATCTGTCTATTGTTTGATGGTGTTAAAGGACTCATTACAAGATGTAAACTGTTCCAAGGAAGGCTGATTTTTGCAATTGACTGATGATGCAAATGAAGACCAACACCAGCTAAAGAACTGGCAGCTGTGATTCCACGTTGTTGTATATATATAATAATAATTATGTACACCACTATGTGAAATCACAGCTGGTGTCGTGCCTTCATATGCATCATGCTCTTATTATTTTTAGGAAGATGTGTTCAAATTTTAGGACGATGCATTGAAGGATAAAGAAGCATATGGCAGATGCTGAAAGTTATTATTTTTGCCTCATAGAATAAAAAGTTCTCAGAAAAGTGAAGACTATAACATTTTATTTGGATATAGATTGCATGCGAGTAAGAAAGCTGGGAGCGGCCTATGATGGGGAAGAAAATAGTCTGAAGAATAGGCTTCTGTGTTTCTTTGAGACCAGCTAGTGGAGTATAATTGTATAATCACAAATCCTGCTTTCATTGTGTTAGCTAAGAATCATTACTGTGGTATGAGTCTTCTATTGTTGTTGTTCAGTTGTAAGGGATGTCCAATTCTTCATGATCCCATGGACCACAGCACATCAGCTCCTCCCCATCCTCCACTATCTCCCAGAGTTTGCCCAAATTCACATTCATTGCATCAATGAGACCATCTAACCCTCTTATCCTCTGCTGTCCCCTTCTCCTTTCATCTTCCATCTTTCCCAACATCAGGGTCTTCTCCAAGGAGTCCTCTCTTCTCATTTGGTGGCCAAAATATTTGAGCTTCATCTTCAGGATCTGTCCTTCCAAAGAACAATCAGGGTTGATTTCTGATTTGATCTCCTTGCAGTCCAAGGGACTCTCCAGAGTTTTCTCCGGCAACCCATGAAACTTATGGGGCACAGACTTTTCCCTGTTTCTGCATACATGTCATATGATTGGCTTAATATGTAGCACCTTAAGTAAAATCTGCCATTCAGGGGGACTTAGTGAGATTCAATTGTCTGAAATGTATCTGTCTTATAGTTGAATTCCACATTGCACGGAACTGAGTATTCTACACTGTCTGGAAGATAAGATCCAGGTGTGATCCAACCCTGACACTAAATTATACGAACTAAAAAAAGCTGAATAATTTGGGATTGCTATGATGGACTGTGGTGGAATGTAGTCTGGATTCCTAGGAGGAGAGGGAAGGGCCGCGTTGCAGAGGACAAAGATGCAGCAAAGCTTAGATCAGGGGAGTTAGATCTTGACACCTTTAAGAGTTGGGGACTTCAACTCCCAGAATTCCCCAGCTAGTATTCTGGGAATTGAAGTCCACAGGTATTAAAGGTTGGACACCCCTGGCTTAGGTAGCCTGGTCAGGAGAAAGCGGGTTAAGATGCTTCTCCCTAGCAGTTCTCAGACTATATCTATAGTGATGCAAAATAGCTGCTTCAGTTTGGCAAGATTTCTGTTTATAGGGAAGGAGCAATCAAGGAAACTGCTCAGAAGTAATTCCACATGTCTTTCTCAGTTCTTGGGGCCTGTCACTGATTCTGGTTTTAATTTCAAAAGTCTTAAGTGTCAAAAAAAAAAAGATCAAATATAGTCATATGTAAAATATGAGGACAAAATAGGACTAATTCCAGTCCAGACCTGGTAAAAACAGAATACACTTCCATCCTAATCCTAAATTCAGGTTCATTGCACAAGGCTCTTAATACTCTTGCTAGTCTTAATTTATGAAGTTAGTTCAACATATTACCTTTTTTCCCTTTCCCTCTCTCTTTCTTTTATCCTGTGCCCACAGAAATGAAGGTAATCCTGTGGGTCATATTCCACAGTGAGGCATTATATTTCATGGTCTTTCCTACTGTACAATTCTATTCCTGTATCAAAATTTCCCTTGGGTGATATAGTTATGGTTTTCAATTTATTTCCCTTTCAATTCTTTGATTCTATAATTTGCGTTGCAGTAAACCAGCATCACCTTGGGAGTGTGAACCCGGATGAATGCGACCGAGGTTTCCAATCAGTTTTGATGGAGTAATGAGGCACTGCCTTAAAATGAACAAATGCATTTTTTATGGGAACAAAAATAAGGAAATGGAGCCCTGTCAGTAAGAAGTGCTTGAGAGATGCACTTGAATGTGATCACTAGCAAATAGTATTTCACAGTGGTATTTCTGATACTGTAAATAGAAAGGAGTACAATGCTTTTATGTGTTTTAACCACTTAAAATTCCAGGTAAACAGTGCCTCGCTGACTATCTTGGCTCAAAAGCTAAGCTGGGGACTTCTGTAGATCACCATGGAATAGCATGGTGCTGCAATAAACTGGGAAGTTGAAAAAACATTCCAGAAGAAGTTAGCTATGTGTTGTGGCCTGCCGGCGGCCAGAGGAGCTAGCAGCAGAGTCGGACAGTGAGGAGGTTGGGGAGGAATATAGACCAGTCCTGGGGGCTGGTGAAAGCTTGGACGAGGGCTCTGCATCGGAGGCAGAGAGGGAGCTAGATAGCAGTGAGGCAGAGGAACAGCTGGAGCCTGGTCCCAGTGTCCGCATGCGCAGAGCTGCCAAAAGACAAGAACAACTAAGAAAGCAGGGTCAACTTGGGAGTAAAGCCACACCTTGGAGGTGATTGGTCCCTCCCATAGGAAACAAAAGAGGAGAGAACGGGGAGTGGGCTTTTGCAGGAAAGAATTCATTCATTCCATGTCTTTGAGAAACTCTGTGCCAAGTTTTTCCTTGTACTGCGTTTGGAAACTAGTTACGTGGCAGCTTGCCAAGCGAGATAAGGTCTGTGTTGATAAATATTCCTTTGAAAAACTGTTTGGACAGGGCTTGCTGACTGTGAATGAAAGGAATTCACAGTCGTGTAAATAAAAGAGGTTTTGCCAGGACCAAGACTCTGCTTCCTGCTTTTTAAGGGAGCCTAGCTCAGAACACTATGTGTCTGCAATTATCAGGAAAACTTCATTTGACTGCTAAGAAGAAAGCTTCAGTTGTCTGATAATGGCATTACTACTGTAGATGCAACTCCTGGTCAATCTTGGCTGATTTCTAGGTTAGCTAAGCCCAGCAACATCTGGTTAATGTAGGGGTAGAAGACCGCAAGGCGCTTCTAATATCACTTTTCTCCTGGCTACAAAACTACATGGAAATGCATCATGCACCTTTTGGAATTGGAACAATTTTGCATATTGTGGGCACAAAATATTTATCAGGAACTCAGGTGGGTCCTGTTGAAATGTAATCTGAATTGAACTGTCTTCCTGTTCTAACAATATAAATTTCCAATTAACAATTGCAGTTAAGAACTGGTCAGTGGAACTCATTGTTAATAACATCAGTAGGGACATAGTAGAACGGAAAAAGTTCTATTGATATATAATCTGAGTGAAAAAAAACAACATCACATTTTCTGTGTTTCTTCATTACTCAGTCACTTATAAAATGAGTCACCAAGTCAGAGCTCAAAGTTTTTAATTCTGGTTCTACTGTGTTTCCCCGAAAATAAGACCCTGTCTTATATTTTTTGACCCCTGAAATAAGCGCTTGGCCTTATTTTCAGGGAGGTCTTATTATTTTGGGGCGTGTGGAGCAAGACGGGGTTCCTTTTGCCATCTTACCTGATTTCCAGCTCTGTCTCCCTAACCCTAACCAGAGGAAATGGCAGGGATTGGCTGCACATGCGTTGAAATATTTTCGGGGAGGGCTTATTTTTGCGAAGGGCTTATTTTTGGGAAGGGCTTCTTTTTGGGGGAGGTCTTATTTTCAGGAAAACATGGTAAGATTTCTAGAATGTTCTTTAATTCTCTGGCCTGCTCCTTTTTTTGTACCTGTTTTGTATACCACAGGGATACTTTAGAGAAATAGATACTTTCCCCTCATTCCAGTTTTATTTCCATTTGCAGTTGGCAACGTGGGACTCCAAGAAGGGGCTGAACGGGAGCTTGCAAGAACGGCGTTTGGGCAGCGACCTACAGGGATTAACACTGAAAGTGGTGACTGTCTTGGTATGACCATGTTTGAACGGAGGAAGTAAAATGTCCAAAAATTATACTTGCTAGTATCTTTTTTAAAAAAATTTTTTTAAAGAATTTGATTATCTGTTGTCATTTGTAGAATGATGTGTTGCGTTTTTTTCCCACAGTGAGACTCAAGAAAGTAACACCTTGAGTAAAACAAGATCTTGCAATAGTTGCGTGCAGCATATGTCTATATCACATATTTATTGCTAGGTTTACATTTCACTCTTATTCCAAGATGTCTAGAGAAAGTTACAATTTTAAAACTAGTTCAAATCTCGCCAAGGCTCAAGGTTGACTCAGCCTTCCATCCTTTCTAAGGTAGGTAAATTGAGGACCCAGTTGTGGGGGCAATAAGCTGACTTTGTATAAATATACAAAAGGATGAAGGCTATTGCTTAGCGCATTGTAAGCCACCCTGAGTCTCCGGAGAAGGGCGGCATATAAATCAAAAAAAAGAAAAGAAAAGAAACCGGTAGAGCAAAAAATAAACATTATGAAGAAACGAGAGAAGCATTTTATCTTTGATCACCAATGACCCCATCAGTGGCTGGTGATTTGGCATGGGCGTTCTTTCTTTGCATTCATTTTCCCTCAGGAACTGCTGGTCGTAAGACCTTCAAGAGATGTGACAGCAGGAAGAGTGAATGCAAATGCAGTATTAGCCCTTGTAGTTAGAGTAGGGCTAAGAAATAATTTCAACAGATGTTCATCCTCTGCAGGAGTTTCCCAGCATTTCTTGAATATCTTCTGAATATGTCCAATTAGTGACTTTTCCATCTTGGAGACCACAGGCTGATGACTACCTACCTGACTCATGGATAAAGTTTGTCTCTCTTTTACCCCTTAAGGCAGTGATGATTAACCTTTTCCTGACCAAGTGCCCAAAGCGCGCATGTACGCAAGAATCCCCAAAATGCAATGCCCCCGGCACAAGCCCCCCCCCACATGCACAGTAGAGACCAAAAGACCAGCTGGCTAGCAGGAGGCATGCATGCATGCGTGGCAGAGCTGAACTGGGGTGACATGCCTACAGAGGTGCGTGCCACCTCTCTCACGTGTGCCATAGGTTCGCCATCATGGCCTTAAGGCCTTCAGACATGTTGCTTTGAAGTAAGATTTAATTCTCCTTTGAGTGGGATTCCATAAATGAAATGGAGAAGGGCTTTTATTCTGTCCTTTGTATTGTGCAGTGAAATTCCCCCCCCTCCCCACCTAAGCAAACATCTGACCCCTTCAGTTATGGCAGGAGGTCTGTAGCATTACATTCAACTGCAAGCAAGTTTTCTTCTCGCTCGTTTGACAATGGCAGATGGAACTTAGGCTGATTCATGTGAATATTACACTTTTCAAATTATAAACCTGGTATTAAAATAGTGTCTTCTTTAGTCAATCCTGCTGACTTTAACCTCAGCACAATGATTAAGACACTATTATAATAATTATAAATCAACATTAGCATAACTATGGTATAAAATTTGTATTAAAAATTTCTATATAAAGATGAGAGAAATGTATGCAGAGCTTGTTTTCTCTCCCCAGATTTTCGTGGGGAGTCTGTTTCTGAATTTCCAATACCTCATCAAATCTCCTGATATTTCTCTTGTGTTTTGTCCAGTTTCTGGACGCTAATCAAAATAGAGGAAGAACTGCACTAAAAACTCAAATGTCCACCTTTAATCTAGTGATGGAGTCCTTGAGTAGAAAGAGCAAAGAATCATCAGTGGTGTACATTCCCTACTAATGTTGTGGTTGAATTAGCTTCATCTTTTCCTAGAGGATCCTCAAAATTTCTCAAGAAAAAAAATTGTTGAGAGGGAGGAGACGCCAAGCTGTCAAAAAAAAGAAAAAAAAGAAAAAGGCATCTATGCCTTTTTATCATTTTATTGCAAAATTTTCATTCGTATGTCAGCCTACCTGTGCAGTTTGCCTGTAAAGCAAAGCTACTCTACAGTCCATGAATTTATCTGATCCCCAAAACTGGACCTCAAATAATTTTGCTTCCCATCTGGGAAATTAGACACTCAGAATTCTTGAGTGTGGTTAATGACAGAATCAGATTCGGTTTCCTCCTAGTCACAGGTGTTCCAGAAATGAAGAAAGACTCCAGTAATCAAAAGTGGACATTTGTTGAAAGATACTGTATGTGAGCAATTGATGTTGCTCATGATGTTCTCAGAAGAACTTAGATAGAAGTGTCTTGCTCATGTCTTCTGTTTTTAAACATCTATAGTTGTGTCTACTATGCCTAGCATAGAAATAACTGTTGAACACCACTGCAAACTCAATATGTTTTCCTTCTTTGTCAGAATTGTATAGTTCCACTGATTGTCTACTTGTTATGTCAAATACAACAGCAGGTGTGTGTCAGCAGTGTGAGAGATGCAAGCTTCCTTCCTGTCTAGCTACAGCTTCTCTCCTGTGCTTCTCTTGGTTTTGGATCTCCCTTGACATCATAGTTTAAGCTAATTTAGGAGCTCCCCCCGAGATTTTTTTTAGTGTAGGCTCTCCTGCATCATTTATCCTCTTTTCCCTCTCAAATTGTTCAAGGTCATGATCATATCTCTCTCCAGTCAGAAGGTGAACTGGCCCATCCAAAGGTGATGTCACTACCAATGGGTGGAGTTTGCACTGACAATAAAATCAACGGTTTGACAAATGAGCACCTTTCTCTGATTCATTTTGAAAGCAACACTTTATTGTGAGACTCTCTCTGTTCTTGTAACCACCATTATTAAGTTAAACATGCCTTAGGTTTAGCCACTTTAAGCTTCACCCCTGGATTAGCAATAACTGGAGGGTATCTCCCTCTTCATTCACAATTATTGTATTCTTGAGAAAAAACCAAAGACAAAACATGAAGCTTCAATTGTCCAGACCTGGCAACACAGCTTGTTGAGGTGCCATCAAAACTGTGAGTCAAGCTATTTTTGCTTTGTAGTGTTGTAAGTCTCCTTTAAAGATCAGTCTTGCTTTGTTCTCAGGAAGAACCGTTTGTTATGGTGGCTGAGAATATCCTTGGGCAACCAAAACGTTATAAGGGCTTCTCCATTGATGTCCTGGATGCCCTTTCCAAGAATTTGGGCTTCAAGTATGAGATCTATCAGTCTCCTGATGGAAAATATGGACAACAGCTCCATAACAGCTCCTGGAATGGCATGATTGGTGAACTGATTAACAAGGTATGCCCCATAATATCTGGATTCTGTTTCTTTTAGGGGAGGATTAAAAAAAAAAACCCATTTTTCCCTTTACATTGAACTGTCTTTCCTGTCCAAAAATAAGACATTCCTCATTAACAGTGAACGTTAAAGAAGTGGTCACTAGAACTCAGGGTTACTAATATTGATACAATAGAATTTTTTTAAAAAATTGGCCAAATGTGATTGGACACACAAGGAATTTGTCTTTGGTGCATACGCTCTCAGTGTACATAAAAGAAAAGATACGTTCATAAAGAATCGTAAGGTACAACACTTAATGATAGTCATAGGGTACAAATAAGCGATCAGGAACAATGTCAATATAAATCGTAAGGATACCAGCAACAAAGTTACAGTCGTATAGTCATAAATGGAAGGAGATGGGTGCTGGGAACGATGAGAAGATTAATAGTAGTGTAGACTTAGTAAATAGTTTGACAGTGTTGAGTGAATTATTTGTTTAGTAGACTGATGGCATTCGGGGGAAAATTGCTCTTGTGTCTAGTTGTTCTGGTATGCAGTGCTCTATAGCATCGTTTTGAGGGTAGGAGGTGAAACAGTTTATGTCCAGGATGTGAGGGGTCTGTAAATATTTTCACAGCCCTCTTTTTGACTCGTGCAGTGTACAGGTCTTTAATGGAAGGCAGGTTGGTAGCAATTGTTTTTTCATTCACTAGAAATGAAGATACAAAAAAGTCCTATGATCAAACAATTTTTTCTGGTATTATATTATGCACAAATTCCACAGTTTAGTTACTTTTTCCTATCCGTTAATTTTAGAAATCTATCTACTCCTCATCTCTGGGAAATTTTCCACGCATTATATTTAGCATAAAGTCTTTCACCTAAGAATATTTAGGTAATATTTAGGTTTTAGGAAATGTTTAGTGGCCATAGATGAACTGTGTATAGCTAGCTAATGGAGCATTTTCTGATGTGGTTTACTTATGAAAAAAACCATTCCATTTTGTTGAAAACTATCTTTCATTTAAGGCCCCCACCTGTAATACTATTTTATAGTGATCAGTTGAATAGCTTTCAAGGAAGAAAATATTGTTTGTTTATTTTTAAAAAACAGGCTTGAAAAATATAGAAAACAAATCACAAAGTGATTGAGTCACATTTGAGTCTGAATGAGTGGCATTGACTCGTAAGTATGTGCTACTAAAATAAGGCAGAAGACATTCCAGCAAAGAAATCTTAAAGAATACAGATACCAGAGTACATTTTGTTGCAAATGGTTCATTTGTGAGAAGGCTGAACATCGTCATAGCAATAGAAGCAAATGTTCTACAGTTCTCTGCCAATAATAAAACCTAACTATAGACATTGATATTCAGTAATGTGATCGTTCCCAAATCGTTTGCTTACCGACTATACAATGCTCTCCTATTATCCAGCATTTCTATATGAAAAAAAGTTTAGCATGCAAATGTGAAACCAAAACACACGATCAGAAAACAGTTAATGATCACTCTACTATGATGAAATATTCATATTTTTCTGCCCCTTTCAAGGCCGTTGCAAATCTGCCTATGTGTCTTCTGAAGGTTTCTTACTCAGAGAAATATTTTTTTATAAACTCCGGTGACTCAGCGGGCACCTAACACATTAAAATGTTCTCCTAGGAGCACATCTCACATATAATAAATTCTGTATGCATATTGGAAGGGGAGGGAGGTGCCCAGAGGTGGGCTTCAAAAATTTTAGCAAGGGGTTCTCTGTCCAGGTGGGCTGGGTGGGCGTGGCCATGGTGGGTGTGGCCTAGTCAACCTCCTGCAGCACAGCAGAGGGACGTTTTTGCCCTCCCCAGGCTCTGGAGGCTTTCCTCCTGAACTGTTTAAATGTCAATGTCCATATATAATAGAAGTTTTGCATTTAAAGTTATTTCACTATTAGGAAACCTTGGGGTGTATTTTCCCATTCAGGCTGAGAGTGGAAATTTAAGTTTTTCCTTAAAACCTCTTCCGTGCCGCTTACTCGAAAAATGACCGTAATAGAGAGAAGCGTTTTAAATTAATCTTCTGCCTCATGTGCTGTTTTTTGTTTTGTTTTGTTTTTTTGCACGAGGAAGTTATTTTTAGTGGCACAGCATTCAAACAAGCAATCTTAAAAATACAATCTGAGAATTGCTCTGGCAATTGGGCTGCATTATTTGATTGGCTTTTAATAGCTAAGCCCTTTCATCTCAGAATGAAAAAAAGAAAAGAAAAGAAGGTCAGAAATTATTTTTGCCTTCCTACATAACGGAGCCTGTCGCATTTCTGAAACAAATCTTCCAAGTTTGGAATTGCACCAGGCCAGTTTTAGAAGAACATAGCAAATAGGGAAGCAGGAATGACTAACCGCTAACATAACAGAGAAAATAACAAAACAGCAGCATTGGAAGGTGCTCTGGAGGTCTTCTAGTCCAACTTCCTGCTCAAGCAGGAAGCCCTACACCATTTCAGACAAATGGTTGTCCAACATCTTCTTAAAAACTTCCAGTGTTGGAGCATTCACAACTTCTGGAGGCAAGTTGTTCCACTGATTAATTGTTCTAACTGTCAGGAAATTTCTCCTTAGTTCTAGGTTGCTTCTTTCCTTGATTAGTTTCCATCCATTTCATCTTGTCCTACCTTCAGGTGCTTTGGAGAGTACCCCGTTCTTCCTTGTATTGCAATACTTGTATGATTTGGCTGACAAGTGGCATTACCTCCTATGCTACCTGTTTCTTGTCCACTGAGAAACTAGCAACAATTACAACCTCATCCTTCTGTCTGCTAGACAAGTTGAACCTTCCAGAGGGAATATGTGACTTCAGAGGAGCTCCCTTCTTTTATTTCCCCATCACACTGTTCCTTGTAGCAGATTTCTTCATTCCACTAGTAGGAAGGTAGACAGACCCATGGGAGGCCTTTTCGTCATGTCTAAGTGTCAAAGGTTTTGACAGAATAAGCTATGTTCATGCCACACCATGCCATAAATTCTTGAAGCAAAGCTTGGTGGTTGCTGGAGGTAGACATTGTCCCAGTATACTTTGCAGCAGAATCCTTCTTCTGCTTCCCTGACGTGGCTGAGTTAACCAGCATGTTGTGGCCTGCCAATGGCCAGCGGATCTGGCAGCAGATTCAGACAGTGAGGAGGTTGGGGAGAAACATGGGCCAGCCCTGGAATCTGGGGAAGGCTCTGACAAAGGCTCTGCATCGGAGGCAGAGATGGGGCCAGGGCCATCTGACAGTTGCCAGCAGCAGATGTCAGCTGCCTTTGGAGTCTGTGGGGCAGAAGAACAGCTGGATCCTGTTCCCAGTGTGCACATGCACAGAGTTGTCAGACGAAGGGAACAGCTATAGAACAAGGGTCGACTCAGGAGTAAAGCCACAGGTGGATGGTGAATGGCCCCTCCCATAGGGAATAAAGAGGAGCGAAGGGGAGGGGAGTTTGCAGAAGACAATTAGTTCATTTGGGTGAAGATCTGTTCTAGTGGTGGGTTGCTACTGGTTCACCCCCGTTCAGGTGAACTGGTAGCAGCAGTGGCGGGAGGCTCCACCACCTCCATTTGGACATCATCAAATATGCTCTGTGCATGCAAACGAACCAGTAGCAAAGATAAGCGAAACCCACCACTGATCTGTTCCTGCATTCTTGCCGAGTATTGTCTGTTACAGTGTGGAGTCTGAAAAATATCGGCCTGGCCTCTCTCCAAGCCTGATAAAGGTCGGTAATTGTGAACTATCTTGAAAGACCGTGGGAGAGGAAAGACTTTGCTGGAGAGGAATTCACTGTCAATTAAATAAAAGGAGTTTATCAGGACGAGGACTCGGCTTCGTGCTGCTGGGGAAGCCTAGGTCAGAACCCAGCAAGGGGGTTTCACCACTCCTTCTCTTGTCTTCACAGAGAGCTGACCTGGCCATCTCCGCCATCACCATCACCCCTGAACGAGAGAGCGTGGTCGACTTCAGCAAGCGCTACATGGATTATTCCGTAGGCATTTTGATCAAGAAACCAGAGGAGAAAATCAACATCTTCTCTCTCTTTGCCCCCTTCGACTTTGCTGTGTGGACTTGCATAGCTGCGGCCATCCCGGTAGTTGGTGTCCTCATCTTCGTGTTGAACCGAATCCAAGCAGTCAGAGCCCAGAACTCCTCTCAGTCTGGAGCCTGCACTTCCTCCACGCTTCACAGCGCCATTTGGATTGTGTACGGAGCCTTTGTTCAACAAGGTACTCATTTGCATAATTGCTCTCTGAATATTGATGTTTGAATATCTATGGAGTTCCTCAATCATCCAGGTCAAGGTTGTCCCAAAAGTTTTTTTTCCCCCCCAAAAAAGCAACTGAATTGAAGAATGCTTCTTGGATGAGAAGTGAAATGTTTTCAAAGATAAAACCAAGAAGTCCAGTTGCCTTTTGGGAAAAAAAAACACTTTTGGGACACTTTGATGGTGATTCTCTACTTGGCTTTTAATCTGTGGAACAAATAAACCCTGACAAGCAACTAGCTTGATGAGTAGATTGTGATTTACGGGGTAGTGAGGCCATCCGAGTAGGCCTTTGAAGCTGATTTCAAAAGCACATAAAACACTTTACACTTCTGTGTCTTGACACACTTGTCAAATTATGTCATTCTTAAGAGTGGTTGGTTGTTCCTATTGCCCTGGGTGTTTTTCTCTTTTGTTTTAAAGAAGCACATGCAATAGTTCAATGATCTTTCAAGTTTACCAGAAAAAAGGACTGGTAAAAATCCATACAAGATGGGAGATGCTGCCACAGGGAAAAAAAAAATAATCCATTGTTATTTGGCCACGCACTTGCATTTTAAGTACGTTGTCTTTTGTGGTTGATAACTTTTGTTAATTTTTTTTGTTTTAAATGTTGTTAAGTGCTCATGGATTTTCACAGGATAAGGTTGAAATGCTTAAATGTATCTTGAATCAGTTTTTATAACCCTAGTTCCAGGTTATCGGAATAGCCCCGTAAAATCCAACTGAGTTTGTGATATAGCATCTCCTCAGTTTCCATACCTGAAGTCAATCTAATTCAGGGGTGTCAAACTCAAGGCCTGGGGGCCAGATCCAACCCACGGGGTGCTTCGATCTGGCTTGTGGGCCCTCCCTGGAAACAGCGAAGGACTGACCCGCGTTGTCTCTGCCAGCAAAAACAGAGCTCAGGAGGCCCACCCGAGCTCCTTTTTCACTGGCAAAGGGCTGCAGGAGGTAGAAAATGGAGCCGGGGCAGGCCTCATGCGGCCTCCCCGAGCTCCATTTTCACTGGCATAGGGCTGCAGGAGGCCGTTGCTGCCAAAACTGGAGCCCAGGTGGGCCACACGCAGCCTCCCTGAGCTCTGGCAGAGAGCTGAAGGAGGCTATCACAGCCAAAATGGATGAGCGATGTCGAGCTGGCCACGTCCCCCCTGGCCATGCCCCCCCAGCCCTCCCGAGGTCAAACACAACCCTGATGCAGCCCTCAATGAAATCGAGTTTGACACCCCCTGATCTAGTTGATCAGGAGAACCACAATCAGATATAGGATCTATTTTGATTGTTCCCTTTGAAGTTGTGGAAATCAGATGTTAATGCTTCCCTATAGTTTTTTGAGGGGAAAAAAAATCCAGTTGGAGGGAGTGTGGCTTGGGAGTTGTTTCAATATGAATATGGGCGGCAAATAAATTTAATAAATAAAATCCAATTAAAATTGATCTTAGTGGTGCTTCTGTATGCAAAAGTGATGTAAGTAGAAGTTAGAGCAAACTTACAAACAGTCCTCAGACTAACATTCAGCAATGGAAAGATGTTGCTTTGCGCTATATCTACATCTGAAATACTGTGTCCGCATTATATTTGAAAAAAGATGTAACAGAACTTGGAAAAGTCTAGGTCAAGCACCATCCAATTTAGCTGAAAGAAAGTTTGAAACAGACAACTGCATGATTCTGCTGTGAAATCCACTGCCACAACCTGTGATAATCGGCACTCCCTTGGATGGCTTTAAAAGAACGGTGTCAGTATCAGATTTGGAAGGGACCTTGGAGGTCATCTAGTCCAACCCCCTGGTCACACAGGAGACCTATACTAGGGATTCAACCCGCTGAACTGCCGACCTTTCTGATCAACAAGCTCAGCGTCTTAGCCACTGAGTCACCTAGCCAGGGTAAAGAAGATGAGGCCAATTCATGGGAGCCAAGTCTCTTAAGGGCTGTTGGTCTTGAAGATTCAGGCCTCCAAATATCAACTAGTAAGGAACAATGGCAGGAAAATAACATCTCTCCATCTCCTTCTTGGAAGCACCCAAGAAGCATTTGAATGGCCACTGGGAGAAATAGACTGCTGGGTTGACAGTAGCATGACTACTTCTAGGTTCTTAGGATGATCATATGATGTTACCCATTGTAAGATCATCCTAACTTCTGTGAGTGTTTTGCAATCTAAATATTATGCCTGCTTTCACTGGAGAAAGGGCCATATCCCCTACGTACTGTAAGAGGAAACAGTTCATCATGCAAAGAAAGTAAAAAAATAAATAAAACAAACTTTCTAAGAAGCACATAATATTATCTTGTGGGCCCAGGCAAATTTCATCTAATTGGCCATTTCTTTTTGAAAAGCAGATACCTATACGGCTCTATAAGCTGAGAATCTGTTCTTCTTTTACACCTTATTTATTTATCTATCTATTTATTTATTTAATTTGTATACCACCCTTCTCCAACAGGACTCAGGGCGGTGAACAGCCATAGTAAAAACGTAACATATAAAATTTAAAAACAATTTAAAAAACATTAAATAAGTTTGGCTATCCATTTAAAACAACCCGAATTAAAACCAATTACAAATTAAAACCGAAGGGATGGGATCAAGACCTTATCATTTCTCAGCAAGCAATTCTGATGCAATATATATTACAGGGTTTATTGGAGCTTATTCCACTAACCCTTAATTTCTGTAAGACAACCAGAGTGATCCAGGTACAGTTAAGTACATTTCAATCCCAATATTTTTAGAGGGAGAGATAAAATAAGCAGATATTAATTCTCTCTGCCCCTGATGTACAGCTGAAATTGTCTTGACTGGACTTTATTTATTCCTCTTCGCAGATGGTTAAGAGTATATTCTGGAGGAGGGAACATAATCCCAGTCCATGTTAGACTTTGCCAAATAACCTCTAAGAAAAAGGAGATCATTTTGGCTTGGTTTTCAGGCCAGTGGGCTTTTTCTATTTATTCATAGGCAGAGACAGGCACCTATAACATAGCAGGGAGCAGAAGGGTTTTTAATCCTATGGATCTAAATCTGGATCTGTTGAAGAGACACTGACCAAGCCAGGGGGAGGAGTCAAGCAGGGAATTAGTCTGGAATCCTTACATAGGCACAAGAGTTTGACCCACCTTGAATGCTTTTGAACCTTTTCAATGAATGTTAGGCGTGAACAACCACATCCTCGCATGAAGAGTTCAATTAGCTAGTTTATTGCTCATTTTCTTTAACAGAAATCTTTTTAGACTGGTGGTTTATACACCTGGGCCAGACTACATAAGATTCACCAGCATTCAAGGCAGGTTGGACCTTTGCCTCTTATGCCTACATAAAGATTCCAGACTAATTCCCTGCTAGACTCCTCCCCTTGCTTAGCCAGTCTCCCTTCAACAGGATTCTATCTATGCAGATACTCTATTTTGGAATAATCACCATCTTCTACCAGAGGTAAAATAACTGGCAGATATTTCTTACCTTCTGTGTGGGCTTATTATCCACCTTCTTCTCACATGCTAGCAAAGAAAAATCTCACTGCACCTGAGATGCATCAGTAACATCAGAAACGTGATTCATTGACAATACATCATTCAAATGAAACAGAATAGCATTAGAACTAAGATGAAAAACTACTCAAGGGGTTGCCCCCCTCCCTTTTAACCATTATTGTACTCCTTAGGATGCAATTTGCAAAGCTGTTAAGTTTATTGAAGAAGCAGTGAGAGGCTAAACTTTTAATGAGAAATGTCACCTGTTATCCAATTGATGCGGTCGTCTTGTGCACTTCAAAGAAAATAAACCAAAATATAATTTATATTATACATCTGTTCTATGGAGTAATCAAAATTCAGCTGGATAACAAATATGCTTTTAGAGAATAATAATTTAAATACCAATCCCCCCAAATAAGAATTCCTGAAACATTTTTTTTTTTAAAAAAGGTTTAAAATCAGCAGTGGATGAGGCCATAGATCCTTTTTATGTCATAATAAAAATAAATAATGTATCTGGACACAGTTAGGCCCTCCTGTCTTCAGTATGGGAGTTAACTACTTTTTTCTGTTATATTTCTGTCTCTGATGTGCTGCTTACCACGCAGCATCAATCCACATTACCATTTGGCCTCACTAAGTGATCATTTTTATGCCACAGGGAAAGATCTATTTGACAATACATTTTCTCTGTGATCACTCTGATAAAACTGCCAGCCTGAATCTGAAATGAATTTGTAGACCTCCTTTCTAGAATAAGATATTTCAGAATGCGATGGGAAGCCAAGCAAGTTTCAGAAAAAAGCAGCATCAAAGTTTCAGTGAGTTCCAACTTCTCTAGATATAAATTACAATGAAACTTAAAGCAAATTTGGAGGGTTTCTCCCTGAGTGTTGGGGGAATCAAATGATTGAAATGAAAATTTCTCACCTAATTTTTTGATTTGGGGTTCAGTATGACTCATTTAAAATGTGTGATTTTTTCAGAACAATTGGAATATCCCTTTGAATTAGCTGAGACAAAAATTCCTGGTCTGCACAATGTTTGAAAATTCCTTTCCACACTTAAAAATTAGTTAAGTCCTAGAAAGCTTAAAAATCCATTTTTCTTCTAGGCTTGCTTCTATAAGTTTTCCACATATAGTAGTGGCCAAAATTGTGGAAACCTTTTGGGAAAAGTATATTTTCTAAAACTAGCTAATAACACCACATTTTTTGGGGGAGTAGTACCATAAAATTATATATCAATGGAAAGATAATTTAATCAAAAATGTAAAGCAATAACTTTTATGAAGGATTTGTTATTAGAATAGCAGTCTAAAGAAGAAAAGTGAAACACATAGAAAAAACGAGATATACAAAAATTATCCCCATGTCAGTTAATACTTAGTTGGGTAACCTTTAGCATGAATGACGGCCTTACAACATCTTCCGATGGAGTGAACCAAGTCTTTTAGTTCTGCAGCTGTTATAATGTGAAACCA